GCTAAAGCCGACTTGAAACTACCCACGAACCATGAAAGCGGCTCTCAACATGAACCCCCAAAGCCTAACTAAACTCTTCAGGGTACCCCTTGGAGGAGCACTTTCGGTTCAACATGGGAGGGCCATAGAGGAAGCCGTACATCCTCAACCCCCTCACCCCTAAACCCCTCAAGCGACTATTCCCCTAAACCTTAGATCCTAATCCCGAAACCCCTAAACCCTAAACCCTAAACCCTAAACACTAAACCCTACATCCTAAACCCTAAGCCCTAAACCCTAAGCCCTAAACCCTAACTCCCAAAGCCTAAACCCTGAACCCTAAAGTCGAAATCCTAAACCCTAAGCCCCAAACCCTAAACCCTAAACCCTAAACCCTAAACCCTAAACCCTAAACCCTAAACCCTAAGGCTCTCCTGGCTTGGCTGTAGGCCTTGCAAGCTGGCCCCAGTGCTGTCCTCAAGGGGATCGAGTTGCGCCCCGAGGCCCTAAGCCCGGTAGGGTTTAGGGTTTAGGGTTTAGGGTTTAGGGTTTAGGGTTTAGGGTTTAGGGTTTAGGGTTTAGGGTTTAGGGTTTAGGGTTTAGGGTTAAGGGTTAAGGGTTCAGGGTTTGCGGTTTGGGCTTTAGGGTGTAGGGTTTGGGGTTTAGGGGCTGTCGCAGCTGTAGTTGAATTCACGGTGGGTTGGCTGGTTTGTTGAGTCTTAGAGTGAACACCAGTGGCATTGTCAAATGTTTTGGGTAGAAGGTCAGAAAGAGTGCGCCCTAAACCCGAACCCCTAAGCCCTAAACCCTAAACCTATATGTTATCTAGATTCATTCATACATCACTTCTTTGTGCTGCTAGGCTGCTGATCTGCTGGCAGGCTGGTCAGCTAGTCGCAGCTACATTCGACTGGTCGTGGCTCCCTTCGGATTTCAGGTCTCGGGATCCAGCACCCTCAACCCTAAACCCTACACCCTAAATGCTATCAAATTCTAGGGACATTCCACACAACTAGAAGTCTCCCTGAGTTGGGCCACTTGCCCTTATAAGGCCTTTTCGTGGGACGGTTGGGTTGAGGGTTCAGGGTTCAGGGTTGAAGGTTTAGGGTTGGGTGGTTTAGGTCGCTTTGGGGACGTACCGATGGGGTAGATGTCGGTGGAGTTTCGAAGGAACCGAGTGCTTTGAGCCTTGGGGTTTAGACAGGGCATTTCCCCCAGTAGAGGGGCCCTGATGTACGTACCCCAAACCTGCATAATCCGCATTGTAGGAATCCCCCCGCTAAAAAATCAAAGGCAATTGCACCCTAAACCCTTAACCCTAAACCCTAAACCCGAAACCCTGAACCCTAAACCACAGCTAACGGATCCGCGCGCCTGATTTTCGAGAAGTCCTTGTCCAACTGGGACCTGGCGCAATTGCACCCCAAGTCTACGAACCGCCCGGGTTTCGACAAGCTTACCTGCTGAGTTACGGGACCTTGGTAAACCAGCAGTTTAGGGTTTAAAGGTCTAGGGGTTTAGGGTTTAAGGTTGAGTAGTTTAGGGCTTATAGGCTTTAGGGTTTAGGGTATAGCTCCTGCGGCGAGGTCCTTCTGCAACCCTAAGCTTGAAACCCTAAGTCGGGCTGGAACCCTTCTCGAGGGGATGTAGGTCAAAACGGTGTGTTGGGTTTGTCCCCAGTGCTTAAAAGGCTTGCGTTCGGGGCTGCATACTTGGAGTGCTGCAGCACATACCCGGATTCTCTACGTTTACAACCCACACTTTATAAACCCATTGCAAACCTAACAATGAATGTGGAGGTCCCCTTTTTTAGAGAGAGAGAGAGAGAGAGAGAGATAGCTGGCTTCCTTGTGCAGCTGGAGGGACGTGTTCTCCAGTCTTAACGTGCAGGACATCCACGCAGCTTCTGATCGCCCCGACTATATCGGAACCCTTCCAAAGTTTCTCATGCCCCAAAGCAGCAAATGCGGCTGCTGCCATGTTGCGGCTTCTGGCCTCTAGATTGACGTAGGGGTTAGGGAAGCCTTGAAGCCCTAAACCCTAATCACCCTAGTCCCTAAGCCCTCAGCCTGTAAACTCCCTACTTAAGGAGTATCAGGACGAACCCATGGAATGGACCCTGCCCCTATATAACCACCATATCCCTTAGATACTCTCTATATACCTAAGTAGCCCCTACTGACCCCTAAATAACCCCTAAGGTCCCTGAAAAAGGGTTCCTCCTGAAGTGCCTGGACCTAAGACTCCAACACCCCAAAACGCTACAAGCCTGTAAATCCGAAGCCATCATGGGGTTTTCGGGGTTTAGGGCTCACAGGCTTACGGTTAACACCCTCTGCTGGGCTGGCCGGATTCTCGTGACCTCCGCTGCGTTCTTCGTCACCTGCAGTATGCAAGGGTTGTCCCCAACTGTCTCCAGAAGACTGAACACCCCTAGAGTTACCATTCCGACGTCCTCTGGGCAAGCAGTGTTTGTTGCTGGGCTTAGACTTGAGGGACCCTAAACGAAAGAATACGGGTACCGTAGCACTACTGGGTGTCCTAGGCTGAAGACCCGAAAACCATACTCCCAAAGGGTTCATAGGGTTTAGGGTTTAGGGTTTGAGGTTTGGGGTTTAGGGTTTGGGGTTTAGGGTGGTGGCGAATGTCGGACGATGCAGGGCTCGAGCTTGTCAAAGTCCGGACAGGGGGAAGCTGAGCATGTGGGAATGGCTCACGGCACCAAAACCCCAAAACCCAAAACCCAAAACGCAGGGTCTACTTGATGGCTCTCGTAGCAGGAGTTAAACCCTAAACCCTAAACCCTAAACCCAGAACCTCAAGCAAGGTCATACAGCAGTCAAAGCCAGGCACGACTCGACTTGCGCTGCACCTTTTGTGAGAAGCCGCGACCCTCCAAGTACAAAGGACATGCGAACTGCAACCTGTGTTGGGTTAAAAAAGGGCAACGAGTACTGCTGGTGCTGGCCCCCAAAAGGTGAGAACCCCTAAGCTGCTAAACCCTAAACCTTGAGACCTAACCCCAAAAATCTGAGCCCTAATACCTGGCCTGTTTGAGATCCATCTCGGCAACGTCATTCGCATGGTTGATCAGCTTCTGCGGGACGCCGGAACGTGAAAACTAGGGAAATATAAGAAATTGGTTAGGGTTTCGGGTTTGCGGTTCAAGGCTTATCCTGCACCCTCAACTCTAAGATACCTGGAGGAGAAAGTGGTCGCGAGAACTGGGCTTCTAAGAAAAATAGGTCGAAATTTGGGGGTGAACCTGACCGGAAGCGACCTCAAAAAAACATGCAGCGTGCTGCGACCTAAAAACCCAACCCCTGAACCCTAGACCCTAAACCCTAAACCCTAAACCCGAAGCCCTAAACCCTAAACCCTAAACCCTAAACCCTAAACCCTAAACCCTAAACCCTAAACCCTAAACCCTAAACCCTAAAAGCCCCGAACTGACTCGCTCGACGCTGGGAACTGGGCTGCGACCGCCTTTTCGAGCTGCGGCATGACCGGCTTCGAAGAGAGAACTACTTACTTCAGGTTCATAACATAGGGTTTAGGGTTTAGGGTTTAGGGTTTAGGGTTTAGGGGCTTGGGATTATACATCGAGACCTGGGCCCGCTAGGGGCATTAAGCTGGCAAAACTATTGCACCCTAAACCTTTAAAGGCCTCTTTTTGAATCCAAGTAGAGCCTGATGCCTGAACCCCAATACCCTAAAACCCTAGAAGCCCCTGTTATCCCCCCCAAAAAACCCAAAAACACCTAAACCCTCCTTATAGGCCGCTCTTGAATCCAGATAACCCTAAACCCTATAAACCCTAATCCCTAAACCTAAACCCTAAACCCTGCGCCCTAAACCCTAAACCCTAAACCCCAAACCCCAAACCCTAAACCCTACCTAAACCCTAAACCCTAAACCCCCCTACACCCTACACCCTAAACCCCATCGGCCTCTCTTGAACCCAAATGAACAACAAAAAACAAGCCGCTCCCCCCCCGTCCTGGATGGACTCCAAGTCTCCGGTGCTTCTACTGAAGAGTCCTTTCACTGGAACATGGGGAGTTTAGGGTTTAGGGTTTAGGGTTTGGGGTTTGGGGTTTGGGGTTTGGGGTTTGGGGTTTGGGGTTTAGGGTTTAGGGTTTAGGGCGTCTGTTGCTGAGCTCTGCGGTGAGCGGTGCCTTTGGTTGATCAATACGTTGATCTGGCGGGGCCACGAAAACCCAGGAAGAGGGACCTCCAAAAAAAATCAGCCAAGACCCTCGGCAGCCAAAACCAAAGTTTAGGGTGTTCAGATTTTTGAGTTGATCACCAGGTTTAGTTCTCTTTTTTTGTTGGGAGGGGGGGGGGGGGGTTGAAGCTTTCGAGTAGGGATTCTACTTAGGGACCTGGGGAATTATTCCGATCCCCGGTCCAAACGCACTCGGAACAGCTCGCGAGGCCATGGCCGCAGACTTTGCTGAAAACCCGGGCGTTAGGTGATACGGGCAAGGGGTTTGCGGTTTGGGGTTTCGGGGTTTCGGCGGTTTCATGAGTTGGGGTGCAGCTCATGGGTAGCCTTCAGCGTTCAAGCTTGGGACTTTGGGGTTGAGTACATAAATAGAAAGACATACAGAAATATAAATAAATAAAGCAATCAATAGATAATATATATATATATGTACATACATATATATATATACACATGTATTATAAACACTCATATGCTACAATAACCTACGTGTATACATGTATATATATGCTACCCCCCCCTCCCGGGACCTACCTTTTTGAGTGTTGTTGCTTAATTTTTGCAGTGGCAAGACAGTTGATGCAGCATTTGGATAGAGAGTGGGACGATGACAAGCAGATGACCTTTAGTGTCGGCCTCTACCCCCGTAGGTTTGAGTCAGACATTTGGAAAGGCAGCATTTGGATGAAGAGTGGGACGACGACAAGCAGATAACCTTTTTGCATTGCCTTGTACCCCAGCAGGCTTGAGTCAGACAGTCGGAAAGGCAGCGATCGGAAACCAGCACACTCACTCACCTGGGCTGCACGATTTCTCGCATTGCCCAAGTGAAGAGTTTGCCAGTCTCGAGCCAGAGATCTGTGCCCCGCGTCCAGTATGCATACTGAGCGGAGCGAATTTTGTTGCGCATCACGAGGCTACCTGCCCTGGTGTGCTGGTTCAGGGAGATTCTCTCCTTAAGGAACCGCCAGGCTCTATCGATGATTTGAGTACCGGCCTTCGTTCTCAAAGGCTTGATGCGTCCTGGCACGCGGTGTTCCACCACTTTCACGTATGTCGGAGCCTTCCAAACATACTTTCCATTGACCAGCACCCTTTTCTTGGCATGAACAACCCGATCATGTACAACGCGGTCTACCTTGAGTTTATAACTCTTGGCAGAGTCCGTGTGGAAAATCACGGCACGACCCTTTAAATGCTTCTCTGCAAGTGGTCGCCACTCTACACGTCGCACAGCGCCTGGACCGGGTGCCCTCTTGACGGTCTTAGGCGGGTTGAGGCGCTCCAAGATGAGAGTATCCGGTCGACCACGTTGAACCAGCCCCAACCATTGCTCCCATCTGATTGGCTTGGTCTGGTCTCCGTGTTTCTCATTTGTTTTGGTGAACGTGGCCTCGTCCCCCTCGACATCTTGCCAAGAACGGCAGTCGCCCAACTTGATGTCCTTTTGCTTGACCTCCACGAAACGCCTACGAACATCGGCTAACTTGCCCTCGAGGTCTTGGATGGCCTTGTGGTTCACATGCGTTATCTTGTGGATGGATGCTGCCGAAACACCAATAAGTTTGAGGAGTAGCACAGAAGCCTGCGTCTGAAGATCTGTGGAAGCCGGACCACCAGCGTCAACGAAGACGGGATGCAAGTGATGCGGACTCAGGTATCGCTGGCAACCCTTATGGTTGCAGCGATGTTTCCACGTATCCTCCTTTGTGTTGGGCTTGCGGACCAATCCCGAAAGGGTTCCCTTATGGCAGTGTGGACATCGACTCCCTTGCCACTTCGGTAGGATCTTGTCTTTCACCAGCATGTCGATGAGGGACTTGTTGCTGGCCTTGATGATGTCCGGGTAGCTCCGGCACCACTTCGTCTGATCACCACGAAGCCCACGACCTGGGAGAGCTGAAGGATCCTTCACGTATGGAATGGCCTTGTAAGTCTTGGACTTGATGGAAGCAGGCCGTTTCTGCGTGGCACGCAACTTGCCCTTCTTGGCTACGAAGGATGCTCCAGGGCGTTTGGCTACCTTGGGGGCCATGAGCTCACGCGAGTAGTGCGAAGGGCGAAGGATATAGTGCTTGAGCGCAACTGGTTCAAATTGCAGTGCCTTGAAGTATGTTGTGTAAAAGCACACGATTTACAGAATCAGAACAGCATCACAGTCACACATGCGAGCAGCACCGCACTCACACATGCATCGCACATTTTTCGCTTGACATTTCAGTCGCTTGTGAGTTGATAATGTTTCTGCGTTGCAGGAGCGGTTCACACCGTGGTCACTGGTCCGAGGCCACATGTTGAGTGTACATCCTGTTGAGGTCATAAATCACGAGTGTAGGGTATGGGCTGCGTCCTCCTCTCCGGAGAAGGAGTCAGTGGCTTTGTCAGGCTGCGGAACTGATGATTGTGCTGCCTCTTCCTCAGGCTGGGGAACCGACGATTGTGCTGCAGCATTGCAGGACTTCATCCTTACCCGGCGGGTCGGAGTTGGATAAACAAAATCTCCAAGGCGTCTGCGAGGAGTACCCGGAGGCGGGGCTGCATGTGGCACCACAGGGCCTGTGTGCTTTGGAGCAGCATCTTCATCTGAAGACTGCGAGGAAGGTAGCCATGTCGTGTTGGTTTCCCGGCTGATGTCCTGAAGCTTGTCGGCGATTTTCGTGTTGATGCTCTTGATGTAAGTGCTTGGGCGTCCTGCGTGTGCGAGGTCAGCCAGACCATGAAGGATGAGGGCCTGTTCGCATTTGACATCCTCCTCAAAGGTTGGGGGGAGCTCCTCGACGCCAATCTTGTATTTGGCATAAAACTCCTTGTCCCTTTCGCAGAAGAGGTCGGCATGGAGCTGGCTCACGAGTATGCGATGAACTGGGGCACCCAAGTCCTGGTCAGGGAGTCGCAGGTAGACGGCATGTTTCCCGAAGACGAAGACGATGGAACGTTTCAAGATGGCCAGAACATCAGCTTCCTTGTATGCCTGAAAGAGCTTGCGTGTGAGCTTCATGAACTCAGCAGCAGTGATCGAGGTGCTCAGTCTATCAGGCGGAGGCTCATCCGATTCCTCAAGATCATTCGAAGCCAACGCCCTGAGACCATTCCGGGCCAATTTCACATCGTTGTAACGCCCCGTGCAATTTTGGTCTTCCTCCGAAGTGAGCCAAGATTTCAAGTCGGACGCCTCGATCTTTTCGATGGTGGGGTCGTCCAAGATTATGCCTTCATGTGACTGGCCACACTTGTGCCTGAAGTTGTCCATAGCTTTGGCTCGTCTCCAACCAGGACGAATGTGAGCATGTCCATTCTTGTTGATGTGGTAGCGACCGAGTGCGAGACTGAGGACGATGAGAAATGGGGTCTTGCCCACGCCCGGCCAACCCACAGTGATGATGCCGTAGGAGAGCATCAAGGGGAACACCATGGGCAGCAGAAACGCGTGCATGAACGGCTTCAAGCTCATGGTTGTGAAGGGGAAGAATCGAGATGAAGATGCTCCTCCTGCTGCCCGGGATTTGTTTTGGGCCATGAGTTTGACCTCAGACTTGGGCCACCCCGCGATAGGAGTGCCACTGTCCGGACGTATTTGTCTCAGGATCCACACGTATTGTTGGTTCTCATCATCTTGGTCAGGAGCCTTTTTGTTGATGTACTCCACTCCTGCCAAGAGTTCCTCATCTTCAGGGCACCATTGCTGCTGAGAAGACGAGGACCTCTGGATGCCTTGTCCACCCTGTGCCTGAGAGAGACGCCACCAGACGACATGATGCCCCGGAAGCATGTCCATGAGGTAATGGACGGCCTTTACCCAAGTCCATGGTCCCTGTCTAAAGGCGGGCACTACAGCAGAGCCAGTGCAGTACGCGCGAGCCTGCTTTGTTGGCACCTTCCCGGTAAAGGACATGACGCGAAGAATGTCGAGAACCCCGTCCTCCGAGTTGTTGATGATGTACGAAACTGTGGTTCCCGAGGGCATGGCCTCAGCAGGCTGCAGATGAGGAGGAAGAACAGAGTAATCTTGATCTTGGAGTCGCTCGCATAGTGCTGAGATAATGCCTAACTCAGGGATGTTGTAGTGGGCATCGAGGACGAGGGTGCATGATTTGGCATGGTCTACCGGACGACACGCGTGCTTGACAAAGTCCTTGAGGGCAAATTCAGAGTCTCTTTTGACCTCGTACACAGGGGTGGATGTTGTGGCCAGAGAGCAACTTTTCGCACCACATTTCGCCATTGCTTCATCTAGCATTCGTTCGAGGTTCGCCATGGGGGTGGGGAACAGATCAGCTCGTATGGTTTCTGTTGAGACAAAGAGCAGGCTGCAAGCACACGTCTAGGAGCAGATGTGTGAGGGAACATGACACTGCTTATGTTGCAAAGTCGGCCATCCTTTTACTCAACATGAGGCACACGTCTAGGGGCAGATGTGTGAGGGAACATGACACTGCTTATGTTGCAAAGTCGGCCATCCTTTTACTCGACATGAAGCTGGCTCTCTCTACAGGCATACCTAGTGGAAAGAAACGTCGTTCTCAAAGGCTTGATGCGTCCTGGCACCCGGTGTTCCACCACTTTCACGTATGTCGGAACTAGGGAAGGTTTTTCTGGAGCTCCTCGAGTTTCTGACGAAGTTGTGCGTTCTCGTACTCATACTCCTGGATGTCGCTCTCCAGGATGAAGATGCGAGTCTCGTGCTTTTCAACTTGCTGCTCCAGGGTGGCGACAGTTGCTTCAAGGTCCTGCTTGTTCGCCTCCAACTCTAGAAACTGGGGGTGTTCCACCAGGAAGCAATCCAAGATGTCCGTCGCAATCTCTGGGGTAAGCTTTGACTTTGTCGACTTTGATGACGACGGTGACGAGGCTACCTTCTCGGTTTTCTTCTGGCGCTTGGTTGACTTCTTAGAAGAAGACTGCGACGAGCTTGCCGACTCCGAACTGGAAGAACTTGAAGATGAGCTCGAGACGGGACTCCTGGGTGTGGTTGTGTTTGGTGCGATTTCGAGATGATGGTTGTAGTTGGGGGATATTGACAGGGTTTTTTTGATCTTACGTAGCCTACAGCCCTCATATATTCAAAAGTATGACTATTGAAACAAGAAGCGACTTGCGTCCATTTTTCTCTTTGGGAAGCACGTTCTCTGAGGAGGGGCCATCATCCACATGTCCATCGCAAAGTGCTTGTGCCGGGGAGCTGTGCTTGCTGCGAGCACGCTTGGGAACACGAAGAACTTGTTCCAATTTTTCTGTTGCCATCTGTGGCCATGGACCGACAAGTCCGACAGGTGATAGACTCAACTGCCGCTGTATGTTGCACATCATCGTGGAGAGCACCGTGCGAGTGACCGGCTTCCGAGAGTCGTGGACCTCTATGACATTGTTGGAGATGTTGTAGCGGATGGTCTCGATTTGCGATTGGAGGCTCTCAGGTTGCACTGATGCCATTACGCTGGACTCGCTGGACGGGGTCGTCGTCATGGGATCATCGGAGGTCGTAGGTGTTAAGATCATGGTAGCTTGCCCCTTGCCGATGGTGACGTGACCACTGACGTTGAAACACGCCATGAAGTCGAAAGGATAGCAGGGCGAGCTGTTGATTTGAACATTCAAGGCTACTCATGCGTTGGGACGCATAATTAACAATGCCATGAGCTGTACTATATGTTTAATATGATTTAGTAATGTTTGAGTACAGATGCAGAATTTGCTATATACGTAAAGTGATGAAGGTTATTGCCATCAGAGTCTGTATATATATGTGTAATGTGCATCATGCCATTGTACCAGTACCCGTTATAGATATCGAGTTGCTATATAACTAAATTGTGAAGGATTATTGCTCCCATATAATGTGTGATACCATGAAGTGTTGAGCCCCTACATAATGTGTGATGCTATGTTCTGTATTATATTAATATGATTTAGGATGTAGGAATACATGGGTACAGGTATAGAGTTGCTATACAACTGAAATGTTGCGGATTATAGCGCCCAGAGCCTTTGTACTTAGACGATTTGGGCCCCCAGAGGGCACTTTAAAGTACTTTAAAGTGCCCCCCGGGGGCCCCGAGAGACAAAGTACAGGGGCACCATTTGTACTTAGACGATTTGGGCCCCCAGGGGGCACTTTAAAGTACTTTAAAGTGGCCCTGGATCCAAGATCCAAGATCCAAGATTCCAAAAAAACTTTTTGGGGAATCTTGGATCTTGGATCTTGGATCCAGGGCCACTTTAAAGTACTTTAAAGTGGCCCCCGGGGGCCCCGGGAGACAAAGTACAGGGACACCGTTTGTACTTAGACGATTTGGGCCCCCAGGGGGCACTTTAAAGTACTTTAAAGTGCCCCCCGGGGGCCCCGAGAGACAAAGTACAGGGGCACCGTTTGTACTTAGACGATTTGGGCCCCCAGGGGGCCACTTTAAAGTACTTTAAAGTGGCCCTGGATCCAAGATCCAAGATCCAAGATTCCAAAAAAACTTTTTGGGGAATCTTGGATCTTGGATCTTGGATCCAGGGCCACTTTAAAGTACTTTAAGGTGGCCCCCGGGGGCCCCGGGAGACAAAGTACAGGGGCGCCATTTGTACTTAGAAAATTTCGGCCCCCAAGGGGCATTTGAAATGGCCCCCTCCAGGAGCCTCATTAATATTATACATTTTTCTATCTCTCCCCCACCCCACGAGACCAACCTGAGCAATACAAGCTTTAAAAAAGGTAGGTCCCGGGGGGGGGGGGTACCATATATATATATATATATATGTATATACATATATATAAATATACGCAACGTAAGGCGCGGAGCTCTGACCCCCCTTCGCACTAAGTACCTGTGAGCCTCGAAGGCTTCCGCAAGCAAGCCCGAGCCCGTTTCAACTCTGGAGCGACGACGCACTGAACGTCCTAAGCATCCTAAGCATCCCTAGGGTTTAGGGTTTAGGGTTTAGGGTTTAGGGTTTAGGGGTTTAGGGTAGTTTAGGTTAGTTTAGGGTAGTTTAGGGTTATTTAGGGTAGTTGGGGGTAGTTTAGGTTAGTTTATGGTAGTTTAGGGTAGTTTAGGGTTTAGGGTTTGGGGGTTAGAAGCTCTAAACCCCGAAGCCCAGAATCCTAAACGTCCTAAGCATCCTTAACCCAAACATCCGCTTAGGGTTCAGGGTCGAGGGCCGCAGGTGTGTGCTTAGGTTAAGCCATCTCTCTGAAAAGCCCTCTTTGAGGGGTTTGGGGTTTAGGCCTAACTACTTCGGTTGCGGGGTTGTCATAGTGTTTCGCGTCTTCCTGGAGATCCCCTACTGCAGTTCCTTTTGTGGGGGGAAGGGGCGCTGGGAGGGGGCGGAGGGGTGCGGGAGGGTGGGGGAGGGGCGGGGGAGGGGGGTACCAAGAAGTCCCTGAAAACCCTTGCAGACACTGACTAGCCGGTGGAGCGGTGTCAGCTATGCCCGAAGCGAGAGAAGGCACCATGCACGGACAACTAGCTCAGCCCGGGACTACAAACATTTATCGGAAATTGCAGCTCAACGAAACTACGCGCCCTAAACCTCAAACCCTATAAACCCTCAAACTCGAGATAATCTAGGGCTAAGCTTCGAGCCCTAAACCCTAGATTTACCCTAAACCCCCCAAACCCCCCACATAAAACCCTGCTTGTGGTGAGGCGCTCGCACTTTCTGGCTCCGGCTTTCAGCTCCCAGACTCGCCAAGTGCTGAGGCCTCGCGTCCGGTACAGGGTGCAGGGAAGAATATAGAGTCGGAATGATTATTAATGTAATTCCCTTATGGTCCCTTTATAATTCTTCTATAATCACAAAATTAGGGTATATGGTATAGCGTATAGGGTAGGAGGTAGAGGGTAAAGGGTATAGGGCTCAGGGCTGGGCTTTGGGGCTCAGGGTGTTTTAGAGGGTTTAGGGCTTTGGGTTTCCAGCCCAGGGCGCTCCCAGCAGCCCGGGGCCCAAAGTAGGGAACGAGGGAACTAGCACCTTACATCCCTCTATAACCCATATGTATATATATATATATATATATATGTATATGTATATTAAATTTACATTTATATTTATATTTAAGTTTATTCTTATACTGATACTATATATATATATATTAATTTTGTATTTATATATTTATATTTATATTTTTATTTCTTATATATCTATGTATTTACTTGTCTATTAATATGTGTATACACATATCAATAGGGGTCCATAGGGTACCTAATTCCATAATTCCTTCATGGCCTACAAAGAACCAGATTTTTGGAAGAAGGCAAGTTGACAATCCTTAGCCGTGCCAACTTGGGCTTGAGCTTGCCACGAAGGGAAAGGCCCGGTTACGAAACAAGAGTTTTGGGTTCGGTGTGCTGGAAAAGGGTTTCCGCAAGAGACAACACAAAACTGGCTATTCTGAGCTGTGCAACGTTAGGTTTGATGGTCTGTGAGGGCCAATCGGGTTTAAGCACCTCTAGATCATGGATCTTCAGGGAAAGCGCCAGAGAGCCTGTGGTTAGAACCCTCTGGGAGTCTGTACATGGGCGGCCGGACATATACATGTCATGTAGAATAGAATACGTGCTCATATGTACAGCTACATGCTGATTTCAATTACTCTTAGTAGCCCAGTAACCATATTATTATTATAAGGGCTTCCATTTTTTGGTTGCATTTTAAGGGAACCAGAACCAACAAAAAAAGGGGAAAAAGGGTACCACTGGGTACCAATTACCGCATCTGCGTTGTTGAAGAACACACTGGCGCGGCCTCGGTCCCGTCAGCGGCTTGCTCCTGGCACGGCTTACACTCAAGCTGAAGCATGCGGGAGGTGTGGAATCGCAGAATCCCTCCCTCAATCCCTAAACCCTAAGCCCTAAACCCTCCTTCCCTTCCTCGCCTCTTGCAGCTTCCGCTCCACTTCTGCGAGCTCGCGCCGAGAGTCCTTGTTTCCCGGCTCCAGCCGCAGGGCCTCACGGTAGGCCTCCACGGCGGCCGCATAATTCTTGAGCTCCGTGCCATAGAGCCACCCCAGGTTCGCGTGGTACGCAGGCTCCTTCGGCTGCAGGCGGATGGCCTCCTTCAAGGAAGCCTCGGCCTCCCTAAGCTCTCCGAGGCGGCAGCACGCCACGCCCAGGAGGTAGTGGCCCCCAGCATCCTCGGGCTCCCGGCGAGCCGCCTCTCTGAGCAGCTTCGCTGCACCGGAGTGGTCGCCGCCAAAGAGTTTGCTTCTCCCTTCCCGTCTCAGGTCCGCCGCTGTCTTCGCATCCTGCAGGCCGAAGTTGGGCCATGCGAGCGTGCGCCAGCGAGCGTGCAAAAACGCTCACTCCCTCTCTCAGCCTGGAGCTCTCAGCCCTCCGGAAAACGAGAAGCACACACAAATGCAAGGATACTGCATTTAGTGTTGCCACCGGCCTTCGACATGACCTCTGCGCCCTTGCCACTTGGATTTGAAAGCCTCCAGGGGCACTAGCCAGAGAGCCCAATACCCCTTAAACAAGAATTTATCTTACATCATACTAAGGACCCCTATCTAATCTAAGGTATGGTCCCTAATTCAGGGGTCTTGGGCTCTCTGGGTAGCTAGGCAGCTGGCAAGCCTAACGGCTTCCCCCACGTGTCAGGACTTCGTCGTACATCGAGGTTCAGGTGGGTTCAAGACAGTCCACTCGCACATGAGGCTCACAGCACGAGGCCCAGTGACAACTGACGGGCTTTTGTTGCTTCGGCCAAGGATGCTCTATGAGCCATGGAAGTGCGCTAAGGTATAATTACCATTGCCACGAAGCTGTTGATGGTGTCTCGATGCTGCTGTGGCAGAGCTCTGGTCGTTGAAGTCGTTCTTGTAACAGCAGCAGCTTCCACAGCACAAGCGGCAGCAAAGCTGATTGTGGCAAAAACACAACACCAGAGCAACTGCAGCAGACGGCTGGCAGCTTGTTCTTGTTCTTGTTGTTCTTGTTGTTCTTGTTGTTGTTGTTGTTGTTGTTGTTGTTGTTGTTGTTGTTGTTGTTGTTGTTGTTGTTGTTGTTGTTGTTGTTGTTGTTGTTGTTGTTGTTGTTGTTGTTGCCGCTACAGTAGTGGGCCTTATTGCCAGAGAGCGGAAAACCATGACGTGACCAGGTTCCCGTCGAAAAGTAGAACTTTTAACAAAACTTGTATCCGCAAGGACATGATTGCGTGGGAGGCTTATATGATGGGGTTGGACCCCGTTTCTTTAGCCGCAAAAGCCTTCCCAGACATCTGCCTGGTAGCCACCTTAAATCACGTCCAAACGCTGAATGCTCAGCCCTGAACCCTAGAAGACCCAACGAAGGAAAGTCGAGGGAGGCATCCTTCTCGAAGGTGCATCCATACGAGGAATAACAGAAGAACCACGACTTTTAGGAACTGCCTCTCCAAACTTGCCCGATGATACAGGGAAGCCCCGAACCCCTACTCTTACTTGAAACCTAGGTCCCGCAAAAGAAAGCGGGTCTTGGCCCGGTCCTGGGCCACGTCGAGGCTCCAGTCGAGGGCTACGTCAGCGATGGCAATTATAGGGCATTCGTTTTCTTCGCCGGGGGAGGGGTTCGGTGGAGAGTTGAGTGGTTAGGGCCTAGTGAGCCAAGGGTGTCTGAAGCTTTGAGGTCTCTGAGACGGAGTGCAGGCTTGTAAGGTGCTACCTGGGTTTTAGTTCGCCTTGCAGGGTTGAGGGCTCAGGATCTTCAGCTTTAGAACCTAGGATCAAAAGGGTGCCCATTTTTAACGGAAACCTACTCTCCTAAACCCTAAACCCTAAAACCCTAAACCCTAAACCCCAAACCCCCTAAACCCTAAGCCAGGGCATCCTGGGAATCAAGGGACTAAAGGCGGGACCCTTAGAAAGGACCTTTGGGGTTCTCTAGGGGTTATTTAGCGGCTACTTGGGTATCTAGGGACGATGTAAGGTGTGTGTACATAGGGGTTATACAAGCGGATAGGACCCAGGGTCCCTTCTCTCTTTGTACCCCTTAAAGGAAAAGGATTTGCAGTCCAAGAGCCTGTCCTGTCATGGCTCTGAGCTGGAAAGCTGCAGAACGATACGCGGCCACATGCTCAGCTCGTCTGTGCAGCGGTTTAGGGTTTCGGGTTTAGGGCTTAGGGTTGAGGTTTAGGGCTTGGGGTTCAGGGTTTAGGGCTTGGGAGTGTTGTGCTTTGTTGCAAACTTTAACCGACGACGGTGCCATGATTCACTGTAGAAACTTGAAATCTCTCGCCTCCTAGTACATTGCTGAAGAGGTAACCCGAAAGCCCCAGTAGGTGTAGTGTAAAGTTCAGGGTTTAAGTGTTGAGTAGCTCCGCAGGTAACCTCTAACGATATGGGGCACTACTATAAACGCTATAAACACCGAAAGGCTCACCTTTCTTTGCTAAAACACAGCCAGTAAGTAACTCTAGGTAACTAGCATGCTATGAACCAAGCAGGGTGTCAACACTAAAGGATTCCAACTTGAAGGGCAATCGGGGGTAGGTAGATGTTGCGGCGCGCCCGCCCCGGGAGCCTGCAATTTTCTCGAAGCCTGCTCGTTTGGACTAAAGTCGCGCTCTCGCCTGGGCGAAGGTGCGGCCGAGCACGCACTTCCTCGCCAAGTGCGGAACTGTCATCGCTTTTGTTATTTAACCTCCTGTGTTCGCAAAAAGCGCGACTGTTCTCGCTTTTGGATGCACTCTTGGTGTCTTCTTTGCATGGTCACTCACTGTCTGGGGTCTACACTGGCATAGTATATAGTATTCCCACACATGTCGTACAATGTATGTATTATAGTACTCTGTTTAGAATGTATGACAGCAAAGTCGACATAAGTCGACTGTAAAGCAGCCAATGGCATATCTTTCCTTACAGTGTACAAGACTAGAACTTAATATGCTACCGTGTCCTACTAAAACCCTAAACGCTAAGACCCTAAAACCCTGAAGCCCCAAACCCAAAAACCCCAAACCAGAACCCAACAAATCCGTGCACAGCATTGGGTTTAGGGATTCTAGGCCCAGAGTCCCCAACCCTGCAAACCCACGAAGTTGTCGGTGGGAGTTCTAAAAGGTGAGAGTTCTAACAGCACCTACAGGGGATTTGGGCGACCTACCAAGAAAGTGTGTGTTCTCAAGCCCTAAACCCTAAACCCTAAACCTTTGTGTAGGAAGCTCTAGGTCCGTCCGATGGCTTCTTTTCTCTTGTGCGGGTCGACCTTGCTGGGCTGCTGCGTTCGCGGAGCGCGGCAGTCGCGTCAAAAGATGGCCGTCACTTCGAAGTCGGGGTGCCGGGTTTAGGGTTTAGGGTTTAGGTTTAGGTTTTAGGGTTTAGGGTTTGGGGTTTAGGGTTTAGGGGGTTTAGGGTTTAGGGGGTTTGGGGTTTAGGGGGTTTGGGGATTAGGGGGTTTGGGGTTTAGGGGCCCGAAAGCAACATACACATATAAAGATTGTACAAACCTAGCTTTCCAGAATCCCCCCATATGCCCCAAGAGTAGGACCCTTATGCCCTACTTGGGAGTAGACCCTAGAAAAAAAGTACAAACTTTTTAGGTATAAGTAGCTATCATAGGAGCCCAGAACCAAACAAAAGTATTAAAGCATAGTACTCCAAAACCCAGTATGCTTATGTGGTTTTGGGCCCTCAAGGGTCCGGTGGTGGCTAGAAGCTTCAGCTTCAACGTTCGGGAGCACAAGTCTCTGTAGATGCCCATATACTGTGGAGAACAGGTGCTTTACAAGTCTCCATGGTATAGAGTGTATTCGTACCCTTTATACCATAGTTACCAAATGGGTACGTGTGGATAAGAAATATCTGGGTGCATGCCGTCAAGATGGAAGTTAACTAAATCATGATCCTTTTTGAGGTACCAAGTGTGATGCGCAGCCTGATATATAGGATACCTTAAGAGGGACAAAGCCCAAAAAAAACTGCAAACCCTTAACCATATTTTGGATTGAATCTTGGGGTCAGGGCGCAGGTTCAGGAAAATGGAGGAGTCTCCAGTCTCCAAGTACCCTAAACAAATCCTCAACACCGCGAGCAAAGGCCTACGGGGTATTCCAGGTAGTTTGTATCTATTTGTTTTTTTATTTATACGTCACTACTTGTATAGGGTGAGGGGGGTTAATGTTGGTAGCCATTCACGCCCCGGTGATACGTAGCAACCTCTCAGCTGGTTCCGTCACCAACCGCCCATGCAAGTCCTGTTAGGGTTTAGGGTTTAGGGTTTAGGGTTTAGGGTTTAGGGTTTAGGGTTTAGGGTTTAGGGTTTAGGGTTTAGGGTTTAGGGTTGAGGGTTTAGGGTTTAGGGTTTAGGGTTTAGGGTTGAAGGCACACCCAAACGTTCGAAACGGCCAAATGGTGGGGGTATGGATATTGGTCAGCTGTACTTTGAGCACGAGCTTCACGAGCTGGTGGCACACAAGACGCGGCTGCTCCACCCTCAAACCTTATATCCAGAACCCTCAACAGCTAACGGTTTAGGGTGTAGGGTTTCGGGTTTAGGGTTTCGGGTTCCTGGAACAACCCAAAACCGTGAATAGGGCGAGGGCAGCTGTGCAGAGGCCGCGGCGGCTACCAATTAATGCTGCGTAGGCGGGTGCAGCTTAAAGGCATGCAGGAGAATCCAGCTTTCAGGAATGCAGATTCAAGGTTTGGGATCATCTTACCTCCACCTAAACTCCAAAAACTTTCAACCCCCAAGCCCCCATGCCCAAAGCCCTGCACATCCAAAGGCCCTAAATCCCTAACCCTAGACCCCGAAAGATGCTCTTGTGAATTGACGCTGCGTGCTTCGTCGGGAGGGCCCGATCGTTTCCTTGCAAGTTGTTTCCCTAAACCCTCAAAGCCCAAACTCTTTGGAGATGTATCTTCTTAACTGAATGTATATATATATATGTGTACACCTTGAACTTCACCCTAAACCCTAAGCTCCGCCTTCTGTTTGTCGATTCTGAGGCCACCTTCAGTGGTTGTTTAGGGTTAAGGGGTTGGCGTTCAGTCTGGGTGGCTTTAAGTCTATATAGGTGTCATAGGCTTCAGTTTGGGTGGCTTTCGGGGTTATACTTTACAGGGCCGATTGATCGTTTCAGCCGGGAGATGCTCTCTACACTGGCTCTCCTGAAAGAACTTTACAAGACGTTGTGTCCGAAAATTTCCAGAGCTTGGGCATGCGAGAGAGTCAGGCGTTGCCAACATGGCAAGCCCAAAAGCTCTTGAGCTGACTCCTGAAGGGGTCCAACCTAAACCCTAAACCCTAAACCCTAAACCCTAAGCCCTAAACCCTTAAACCCTGCACCCTAAACCCTCCAGCGCCCCTTGCGCCCCTTGCGCCAGGGGTAGCATTGGACCCCCGGAATCCAGGTTTAATTCGCTATATAAGTTGAACAGGACGTGGCCCGAACTCCTGGGATTCCCACAAACAAGAAATGAG